GGTGAACTGGTTCAACCGGTTCACTAAGAAGAACCGGTTAAATCGAACGATTCGTTCACGAACCGGACATCACTACTGTATATGGCTAGGCGCCAGCCAGCAGATTTGAATTTAGCAGCTGATGATATGACGCACTGAACGTTCTAATCACGCTGGTGTGATTGTATTAAATATAGAAAATATTAAACGGCTATTTTTGTCTTTTGGAAGCTGCATTCAAAATCCACTTGGCTCAAAAATCTGAGGGGGCACGTGCCCCCTCACTTTGAATGGGCATGACGCCTCTGGATTTACTGTAGCTACAAAAGAATAGGAGGTTTGACTTTGGAAACTGAAATTAATAGTTCCTGCCAAAGAAATCCTTTATGACACTACAAAGGTTTATAATCAATGGCTCATTATAATGAGCAAAATTGCGCGCACACACACACACACACACACACACACACATATATATATATATATGGGCTATATATATGCAATTTGGCTCATTATTTGGCTCACTCGATATAATATGTAATATATTTTAATATAATTTATATATACATTTATTTAAGTCATTTCAAATCATTTTTAAAATCTTGTATAGTTGAAAATTGTCAAATATAAAAATAATATTTTTCAAATAGCATATAATAATAATTGCATATACTACTACTACTACTACTACTACTACTAATATTATATATTATATATGATATAATATTATTTATATTATAACAATCATAATGCTATGGCTTTATTCTTAAAACATTTCAACAAATCTCATTGGGCTATGACTTTATTCTTGTAATTTTTTATTTAAAATTATTATTTTTTAAATATTATGATTTTAATTTTGTAATCTCAGAATTGTATTGTATATGTATATACTGTATATATATATATATATATATATATATATATAAGTAAACTTAAGTTGTAACCAGATATTGCACCAAATATTTGGATGAGTTAAAGTAATGGAAAAACATCTATCTATCTATCTATCTATCTATTATAATGATGATATTCTTCATGTAAAAAGAATGTCTATGTAACTGCTATTACAGCATTTCTTACTGTATCAAATAACATGTCACAATGTTTCCTTTATTTAAACATCAAACCAATAAGGCTCTCTTTTAGTTCTCTGGGCAAAATAATAAAATAACACGGCATTTAAATCCTCACACAAGAACAATGCAAAAGCAAAGGGCCTTAGGGAGAGCTGCATCTTCCTTTCCATGAGGGTTGGGTGTGGAAATGTGGGGGATGGGGATCGCTGACGCTTCATTCACATGCATAATATATCGAACTTAAAGACAAGAAGAGTTGAACTGGTGCAGAAGGACATCCAGCCTTCCATATTAAATGTACAGAATCTGTATAGAAGTTGTTGCATTGACTTAAGTTGAAAGCACTTTTCATGTCTTGAAGGTCAGATTTTTTATGGCAACACAAAGGCTACAACAAACGCGTGAAGCGGACTTAGGTCTTTGTATTTGAGTAATTTCAATAACAAAGTTTCCCCAACTGAATGATTGCACAACTTAACAGTTGTGTGCTTTTCGCCTGAGGGTGTTTAAAGTACTTCTCACTTCTGATGAAGCATTACATACCGACTCCTCTCCTGTTCCAGTTACAATCAACATGGTCTCTGTGTCACAACAAATGCATGCTGTATTAGCATTAAGCATTAAGAGTCATAACAACTATTATGTTTAGAACACAACTATGAATATCATTTCCTTGTATGATTGATTGATCTACAAAATCTTTATATGTCAAAGTTCATGCAACCCACAAGTTTTACTTGCTTATTTGAATACAGATGCATAATGGTGCTTTTCTTCCACATTTGCTTGAATAATGAGATCCTCAGTTCTAAGCATGCTTTATAATTCTGGATTTTAACTATTAAAGTAACAGTAACAAACCCTGTTCTATGGTCTTTACATGCATGTGTTTTCTTGTGTGTGTCTCTTCCCCTCCCCCCACCCTACATGAAGAGAGAGAGAGAGAGAGTGTGTGTGTGTGTGTGTGTGTGAGAGTTGAGGGAAGCAGTGTAGGGGACGTGATAGGTATCTGCTCTCTCAAATAACAGCCAAATTTCCTGCAGTTTCATGCAGTTGCAGAATACTGACGATTCAATGTTTATCTGTGTTTGCGGAAGAAACAATGAATGGAAAGTTTAAGGGAGGAGAGAAAGCAACTTTGTCCACTTCTATTCTGCACAGTAACAGCTAAATGCAAAAACTGACTTTAAATACAAGTTTTTAGGACGATGCCATCATGAGACGGGGCTACATATATGAACTGGAATAAATAGGTTACATTTGCCCTCATTCGGTACAAAAGGCTGCAGGATAAAAGCAACATATTTTGTTGTGCATAATTTCCAGTCAAATTAGACCAGTTTTAAGTATATTTGGGCTAACAGAGAGTTTTAGAATTAATAAAATACTACCTTAGCAAAACAGAGTTCATAATTTCATTCCAAAATTATGTAAAATGTAATTTCCACCACAGAGTAGTATTAAACATAATACATCTTGATGTGTTGGAAATATTAATGACTTTTGAACATTTAGGCTACTACATAAACTAGCATGAAAGTGTGTTTTAAGAGAGTTTACTTTCTAAAATTACCCATTGTCCTTAGTTTAAGCTGAAAACATCTATTAACTAATGTAAACTTTGAACTATTGGTAGTTCTATCGTGGTTTGAATATAAAATTAAGATGATATTTTATAAAACGTGTGTTATTATTCTTCACTTCGCCTAGACACATACGGGTACCTTCTGCAGGTCGTGGTTTATGAAGGGACATTTGTTTACAATGCGTGAACGGTTCTTTTGAACAGTTCGTCGAAGCAATTCAGTGATTCTTTTACGCGAGGACGTTATTGCGTCACCACGTGGTCCTCCGATGTCCCAGGGCAGCGTGGCACACTGCATGCTCTTGACGGTTTCAATAAAGCCACATTTTTGTTTACTACATTTTTATTTAGTTTAATGTTTACCAGAACAGTTTGGTTCAGCCATCATTCAGCTCATATAAACAATTCATTCAGAGCCTACACTTAATAATATATACTTAATACTTATGCAATCATCTTTCACAACTCCTCCAGGGTAACTTCTGTATGTTTTAATAAAACTACATTCGATACAACTGTTATAAACATAGCTTACTTCCAGTGCATTTTATTTTAAACACTTTTGATATTGGTGTTTCTTATTAAGGTTTTTGTTCATTACGAGTCGAACAAAGTAACAAAAGTAATACTTGAGGTGAGTTAAGTAACCGTTGGGATTGATTCATAAGTGTTTTGATTCACTAAAAAGGAACGGGATCATACGAGTCACTTGTTCATGTGAATCAAACTACTCCGGTGGCGCTTTATGTATTTGATTCACTGAAATGAATCGACTCATTAGAGTGATTCATTTGATAATCACGCTACAGTTCGGGCTGTGTTTTTGATTAAAAAATAAATGAATAAAAATTTGCTGGCTCCAAACCTCTTTTTTCTTTATTCAGAGTTGACTTAGTATATACAATTGTATATGGACTTAGTATATGGAAGCTTAAGTATGCCTATATGGAAACTATCCAAAATTATGTTCACCCGAAAGCAATAAAAACTGTATTTCTTTATTCATCCTTTGTGTCTTCGTAAGACGTACATTTATTACTTTGTTGTTGTTTACCCTGGCTGCAGTTGCATGTACTTTTTTTTCTCTGTCTTTTTTATTTTCCTTTGATTTGTTTTGTCTCTGTATGTAATTATATGTATGTAACATACTGTTTAATTAAAAAAAGTGTTTTTGATTCTTCTGTTTCGCGAACCAGTTCAAATGATTCATTGCAAAGATCCGACTCAACTGTGCGTTAACGAATCGGACATCTCTCTCTCTCTCTCTCTCTCCTCTCTCTCTCTCTCTCTCTCTCTCTCTCTCTCTCTGAACGCAACAGCTGCATAGTGAGTGATTTGCAAACATTGAAAGCAAGGCATTTCGTCCGGCTAACAATTGGCTAACTCAGCTAATCAGATTTCCAGAAAGAAAGAAGCTACCAAACTAACACCCCAGATATTATTAGTTACTATAGCGATTGTTGGCACACAATAAGAATACCTGACGAAGTCTGAACATAATGGTAGGTAACGTTATGGAGGGTGAGTTCCTTATTTTCAATATCACTCATCGCTAGCGTGTCGTTAGCCAAATTTCTATTATCAGCACGAGCACAGGTTGATCTAACCTCACCAAAGTTAACGAACTGGGACATATGCTTTAGTTTAACACCGATACTCCGTTATATGAAACGAAATAGAAGAGGATTATAAAGTTGGTGTCTCTTTTTGTTATGCAGGAACTACATTAAGATCTTTTGATGTTCTTCCTTAACTTGAAAGGGGAAAGAATAGAAAACAACTTGACAAAAGTTTCATCCATCCCCCAAAAACAAAGTCATAAAGTTGTTTTTTTTTATATCAGCCCTGTTACTTCATACAATAATAGCTTTTGATGCAGCCATTGCAAAACCAGTTATTCTAATAGCTACAAAGAAGAAGGAACTTTTGTGTAAGTCTGGTCTGGTTGGTCGTAATAATGATTTTATTTTATTCTTTTTGGTTGAATATCTATTCCGGTTTGTTTTTATTATTTCTTTTATCCAACTATATTGATGGTTTTAAGATAAGTTATTTATTCAAGTTATTTAACTTCTGCTTCACCATATAGTGATCTCATTGTTCTATAGTAAAAACAACTTAACTGTAGTTAGGGAGGAGTTTTGTATCACATTCCAAAAAGAAAGCAAAAAAAGAAAAAGAGTACATGCAGGTATATTGGCGAGGAGGTATGTAGTAAAATAACTACTAAAGCTGCTGATCGAGTTAGAATGATCACGTGTCAGGAAATTACAGCCACATTAAAGACACGCTTCCACACACGAGGCATTATTATCTATATGAACCATGATTTTGTTTATAAGGCGCGTCGTTTGCATAGTTTCTATTATGTTTTTGAAAAACCGATACTTTTAAACGTTGCATTATTACGTCAGTAACGGTCGTTTTAATTAGCAGCCATCCCCACATCTCTCCACTTGTGCTCGACGTCAGTAGTGCCCAGAAGTAGTATAGTATTATTGAATAGCCTGTTTTACACACCAAATGTGTGTGTGTGTGTGTGTATATATATGTGTATATATATGTGTATGTAAATATGTGTGTGTGTGTGTATATTTATTTCTGCTAAATGACTAAATAAAAAAAAATATATATATATATATACACATACATTATTTATTTATACATACATACATACATACATATACACACACACATAGTATGTGCACATATGTATGTATGTATGTATGTATGTGTGTATATATATATACATACATACATACATACATACATACATATACACACACACACACACACATAGTATGTGTATATATGTGCACATATGTATGTATGTATGTGTATATATATATATATGTGTGTATATGTGTGTGTGTAATATATACACATCATATGTAATATAGACTTTATGCATATAATGTTTTATTCAATTTTGAGCTTTTTCTGAGATAATTACTGAGTGGTTTTCTGAAGTTACAATAACCAGTTTTTCACTTATTTGCATGAGCCATCCGCACCATTTATTGTTCAATAAGACAATTACTACTAAGAACTTCTTTTGAGAAAATTGGATGGTTTGTGGGCCAACAAACATGCTATTCTTGTGAACAGGTTGCATGGCAAAGCCCAAACAAAAGAGTAAGACAAACAGCAGCTGGTCTCTAGCTGTTTCTTCAGCGTGTCAACTAACCGTGTTTTAGGCTATTATAATGACTCAAGCATAGGTGGGGCCATTAACTTTATCATTTTGCACTATTTAGGTTATCAGAATAGAACCTTTCTGCATTTGAAAGTAAATGGCTTTGCTCAGGATTACTTTGTGATTACTATCTAAAGGACTTTGAGAAGCAAAGTTGTTGAAATCAGCACGGCAAGGCCTGTCATTAGAGTATGTCTGCATAATGTAAAAGAATTCACAGATTGTTTTGTTTCTTTTTCACTTGTTTGTTTTTTTTTAACAGTGCTTATTCGGTAGAAGCTTCCTTTTCAGCCTCCGTTTCTTCTTTTTTTTCATCTTCAGCCTCTGTTTCTCTTTTTTGTGCCTTACATTAGCGAAGCCTGTTTTTGTGTTGCGTTTCCCTAAAAGTGAGTTTAACTAGTTGTGTGTATGTAGGGAATAGCAGGAGATTGTTGACATTTCATGATTGATTCTTTTTATCTTTTGTATTTAAGGCATTGCTTTGTGTTGTAAAATAAGCACTTGTGTGTGTGCAGTTTAGAACTGATTGGCAAGATGCCTGAAACTTCACATTTAGGCTTGAATAAGAGTGTCATATGTTCATCTTGGGTGTTATATAATACCCTAAGACAAAGATAAATGTGGTTCCTCATTTTTATTGGCTTGTTTCAGCATGGAAGAAAGGCTAAAATGTTGCAGAACAATGCTGTGACTCCACCTTAGACCTCATGAGTGAGGTTTCACAGATATTGTGAAGGACACCGCTGTAGATAGGCATACAACTCTGGCTTCCTGTTGCCTCACAGTAATGCATCTAAAGAATGGCATTTCGTCAGTTTTGTCCTTGAAAAACTTTCTAAAAGATCTGAAATTGGGTTTTCCCTACTTGTGTAAATGTACCAATACAGAACAGTTGATGTCAGATCTATGTGTAATTTATTAGATCTCAGACAATGCTTTTCTTTGTTTGTGACATGTACATATTAACTGAAATTATACTTTCAGTAGGCGCTTGGGCTTTGTGTATGTATGTATGTATGCATGCATGCATATATATATATATAATTTTTTTTTACTGTCCTGCATTGTGATTCTCTTATTAGTTAATTCTAACAGTGGTTTCCATTAAGTTTTTATAATTTACCTAAACAAAGACAAATTACATCAAAATAATTTGTCAAATGCTACTTGAAGCTTTAAAATGGCTGCTTATTTTTATAATATATTATGTGTTCATGCATTTTTTTATGTCCTCTTATTAATTGAGATTACTACATGGATATTTGAACAATTAAAAGTTGATTTGTCATCTGCTCGACCATTAACATGAGCTAAAAATTGTGAAGAATAAAGAAATGGAGATTTGTTGCAGCATATAAAACATACAAGTTACAGCATCCTTTATACAAACTTGTATATCTTTTAACCTTAAATCTTATTAAAACATGTCTTGGTCATGGTGCAGCGACATTCCCAGTGGAATAACTTAGCAAAGAGGACTTTTCTCAAGGGCACAAATATTATAGACAAACACAGTACTCTCAACAAGCCTTTAGCTGCTGGTTTATTCCCAATTCAGATACTTTGGGGTCACAACCTTTGGATGTTAGCCCAGATCTTTAACCACAAGGTTACGATTGTGTTTCACCCAGTTTATGTTACCTCAAATATATATATATATATTTCTAAATAAAAATGATGGCTGCTATAACAACAAAATATCGAATGTTTGTTTTTGTTTTAGAAATGAGCTTAGATTATTGCTTGCTCTGTATTTAATCCACTTTTGATAAGCTACATTTGCTGCAACTGCTGCAGTGTACGTAAAACAACTTTTCTTTTGTCTCCAGTTTACTTTAGAAACTTAAGCAAAACATCAAACTTAGAGCCCTGTGTGGTTGCTAATCTTTTTTTAACGATCCATGTGACAGATCATGTTTCATCTTAAGTAACAGTACAAAAGAGATGAGCACTTGTTTTCTCTCCCCCATTAATTTAATCATCTGTATTTGTAAGTGTAGTCCTGAGTTGATTACATTCCACAGAACTGGCCACACCTGACTTTGTCTTTTTCCTTCATTTCAGGTTTTGCCTGTCAGGACAATTCCTCTGTGTGAATCACAAGATATCAACTGATCAAGTTTATGCCCCATTACCTGGCAGTGACTGGCAAGCCTTGACTGCTTCTCTTGTACAGGATGGATCATACGGGTTTACTGAAACTCTTAGCATACGCGCTGTGCTGAAATTTAAAAAGCCTGTTTGGAAAATTTGGCAAGTTCCATGGAAGTGTTAAGAGTTATTTGGTATTGTGTAATCTAATGCATGATGTCCTTCATGAGTATTTCAAATGAATGACTCTTTTTCACATGTCTCATAACATTCAACATATTGTTTCATACAAGCTTTCAACTGAAACTAAACAAGAAAGAAATACCCAAGTAAATTCCTGCTGACATGCCTACCCACCCATTGATCCCATATGTGGAAAGTCCTGATGGACTAGGTCATGACATTCTCAGCCACAGCAATGCAAGCATGCCTGGTACTGGATCTAGCATGACGCCCCACGCCAGCGTGGTGGAAAAACTAGACACGCTGGCAGAAAGTAGCCTACCTCTAGACTGCATGTTTTGCGAGGAGACTTTCCTGCATCAGGAAGACCTGGGACCACACCTTCTTTCCCAGCATCCCACAACATTTCACGCTCCCGCAGTGTTGCGCGTGGAAGCGGAATTCTTAACTCCCAGCGAAAGGGCTCGTTCTAAGACCTGCCAAGCTGTGGAAAAGAATGAGGAGCTCTGTTGTGTCGTGTGCGGCCAGGCCGTTGCAGATGCGACCGAGCTGGAAACGCACATGCGGAAACACAAGGACTCTTTCACATACTGCTGCGGCCTCTGTGGACGTCGTTTCAAAGAGCCGTGGTTCCTAAAGAACCACATGAGAACCCATGGTGGAAAGGCTAAAAACAAAAACCAGGACCTGGAGATCCCTGCCACCGTTAATGACATCATCCAAGACCAACCCCCATCACCTGTGGTCACGTCGTACAAAATGTGCATGGTATGTGGCTTCTTTTTCCTGAACAAGGAAGTTCTGGCTGAGCACAGCAAGGTCCACAATCGTGAACTGGAAGTGGATGAGAACTTGTCCTCCGATAGCCAACCTGCTGAGGAGGTTCCTGTATCTCAGAAGGCATTTTTGCAGACCCTACAGTTGCATCCTTCGGGTGCAAGAGAAGAAGCTGAACAGAGTCATCCATCTGGACGCTGGATATCCCAACTTGATCCTTTTAACACCTACCAGGCTTGGCAGTTGGCCACCAGAGGCAAGATCGCAGCAGGTCCAAACTTGGCCAAGGAGCTCAATGCAGACTCCAACTCTGACAATGAGGACTCTGGTTCTGAAAAAGAGGAACTAGGGGCCATTTGGGCTTCTGGTGGTGGAGATAAACCCAGGCGAGGCCTACAAAATGAACTCAAGCCTAGTGAGACTCCTTCCCCATCACCTGAGCAAAAAGGTCTGATTCGTAAAGACAAGCCAACAAACTGCGAAGAGTGTGGCAAGATCTTCCGGACGTACCATCAGTTGGTCCTCCATTCTAGAATCCACAAGAAGGAACGAGGGGGAGCAGAGAGTCCCACCACACCTGTAGACGGGAGGGCCCAAAGCATAGGCTCTTGTAGTAGTTCATCTCTCGACCGAGCCGAAGAGTACTCAGAGGATGGCTCCGAAGAGGGAGTGCCAGTTGACGCCTTTAATCCAGGTATTATTACCCAAGTGTTTGGTATTGTTTTCACTTTTTTATTAGTTCTTAATTGCTCGGTAAAACAACTTACCGTCATCTGTCAGAAGTTCATCCACAGTGATTAAGATTGTCATCATCTTTTCGAATAATGAACACCATAATTACCCAGAAATGCACACTCTTTACTACAGAAGAAGCTACTTCTGTCTCAAGGGTTCAATTGCAGAACTTGGGTGCAGACCTTAGGGCTCCCTCTGCTGGTCAAAAAAACTTTTGCATATTTGACTTGAGGACATTCTGTAGTGCAGCTTGCAGTTTATTTCTATTCTGGAATTCTATGTGTCATTTATGGCTAAAACTAAACATGTCACTTTTCCTACAGAAAAAATTGAGGAAGGATCAGGAAAAATGAAGCTGAAAATTCTTGCTCCAAGAAAATGCAGTTACTGTGGCAAGACTTTCCGCTCAAACTATTACCTCAATATTCATCTCAGGACACATACTGGTTAGTTCTTTGTTGTATTGTCTTTTTACATCGTATTGGGTCTAATTTTGCCTTGCTTTCTGACCCCAATGGCTTGTATTCCAGGATGAATGTAGTTTGGCTATTTTTTTTGCCTTATGTAAACATTGACGTCTTTCTTGTCATTTCACAGGTGAAAAACCATATAAATGTGAATACTGTGACTACGCCGCAGCACAGAAAACGTCTTTGAGGTACCATCTAGACAGACGTCACAAGGACAAACCTTTCACAGAAATCCCGAACATTCCTGCAACCCCGTCTGCTAGAAATATCATCAAGGCCATTGAACCTCCCAAGAATGTAGATGACAAACAAGCTTTAAAACCAGCCAAACAGTGGCTTGCTCCTAAACCTCTGCCTGCCAGTGTTAAACATGAACCAGGCATGAGCCAAGCCGTTATTAACAGCACAAATCCTTCCATTCAAGTCAAGCAAGATTATGCTAGTGCTCCCGTCGCAGCTCCTTACACCCCTGTGGGTGAGGTCAACAAAAAATACCCGTTATCGGTAAACCCGAAGATGGAGGAGAAGGAGGCTACCGAAGCACCTTTGAATTTGTCTCTCAAAGTGCCACTTCCTGCATCTGCTACCTCAGTACCCAGAAACCTGTTACCAACTAACACATGTACCTCTTGCTCCTATGAAACCCTTTACCCTGAGGTTCTCTTGATGCATAAAAAGCTCATCCACAAGGAGAAGTTGGATGTCAAGAAGAATGGATACAGGGGACCTCAGAAACAGAAACGGTACACTGGTTGCCCGCCGGCTCTTGAGGGCAAAGACGTCACTCCTTTGCCCCACATCAACAGGAAGCATCCCCGTCGGACCAAATCCCCACTGCGGAAACCGGAAAAACTTGGGGAAAAGCTTCCGAAACAGCCTCAGATGTCTAAGATTTCTCCTGCGAAGGAGCGCTGGAGAGATCAGCACCAGGAGGGCCAACGGGGCAGGGAATCAGATGCAACCAGCTCGCTTTCTAGAATCTCAGAGCAAGAATCTAGCAGAAAATTAAATGTGCCATTGGTAATCGATCGAGAGTTGTCCAGGCAGAGGCCTGGCCTGGATCATGAGATGAATCAGAGGGCAAGCTTGGGCAAAAACGGAATGGTTTGGCCCACCGATCCAGCTAGACTTTGCCTTTCGGACCGTTTCCGAAACTTGACGCAAACAGATGTCGGCGAACCCTCTAGCAAGAGACACAAGTCCTTTGAGCCTCTACATACTGCATCTGGATGGCTCGGAGAGGATTTCAACCGGATCGTGCCCTCTGGCAGAAATGTGAAAACCTCGTTGCAGGTGAACTCGCCCTTGGCTTCGGTTAAGGTGACTCCCACTCCGTCTCCCAACAACATGCAGGCCGACTGGAATGTCATCAACCTGCTCCGCAACTACACGCCTAACAACCTGGCCTCGCTCTATCACCCCGCTGCTGCAGGCTCCAGCCATGCTGTCATGGCCTCACCTGTCACTGGTGAGTATTTACAACATGTTTGTCAGCAATTGGTCATTGAGTAAAAGAAATAGCTTTTACATTAAGATAAGCATAAAGAATTTTCTAATTTAGTTGTCTTTTTTTCCATTTGTTTTCAAAAACACAGTTTGTGAGATTTGCCTATATATGCCAGTTGGTGAACTGGCATATATAGGCAAATCTAACAAACTGTTTCAATCCTATTATTAAAAAATATTTTCTCTCTCTATAATATACGTATATATAGTGTTCCTGTGGCTCAGTGGTAGAGCATTGCGTTAGCAGCGCAAAAGGTTGTGGGTTTGATTCCCAGGGAACACACATACTGGTAAAAAATGTGTGTTATATAAATAAACTATATATATATATATATATTATATATATGTTTATTTATAGCTCTATAATGAGAATCTATAATATATAATTTTCGATTTGTTTTTTTATAATTGGATTGGAATGTGATACACACACACACACACACACACACACACACACACACACACACACACACACACACACACACACACACACACACACACACACACACACACACACACACACACACACACACACACACACACACACACACACACACACACACACACACACACACACACACACACACACACACACACACACACACATATATATATATATAATATTATATTAATTAATTAGTAGTTATTATATAAAAATATTGTATAAATATACAATACTTTGCATATAATTATTTCAAATATTTAGTTATGTATATATATATTTTCAGGAATTGGTTTTGTTGCATTGTGACATGTATCATGTCAGTTTAACACATTTATCCCTCATTTTTCATTATCAATATGCATTATGACATTTTACGTTATTTAATGAACAGCAAAAATTGCAAACAAAAACAGAAAATTGCATATATATATGTTTGTGTGTGTGTGTCTGTGTATATCTTTGTTTCGGTGTTAAAATAAAATTTCAAGAATTTTTCCTTTACAAAAATGCAGGCAGCAGCTTTCAAGAATTATTTAAAGTTTTAAGACTTCACCATGGCCTCTTAAATGGTCTTGGCAGTTGTTTAGTGAGGAGATGTCCTGTGATCATAACTGAACACTACCCTGTATGCTCCCCTTTTTAGGGAGCAGGTCCTTGATCTTCCCTCACTACTCCACTAGTATGACTCAGAGGAGAATCCAAACCAGCCCTCTGAGTAACAAGCATTGTGGACCTTCAGATAAGAGCTCTTAGACCTATCCAGGGTAAATGTCATCAAATGTCCTCGCTCTCATTTCACAGGTATTGCGTTGTAGTTTATGTAGCTAATCGCGCTGCTTCTCCTCCGCAGCTTCAAAATAAAACGGTGGGGTCCTCGGTTGGGAGGAAAGTTGAACTGATTTGATGTTGCTCACTGTTCTTCAGACACTACCGCCGAAGGGTTTGACGTGTTGGAAGGATGTACTGTGTGGATACGGGCCTCGGGCTCTGCTCTAGCCTTGGCTGCAAGGCAGAACGAACTTGGACTGCAGCCTTGAACAGTGTTGTTTTGATTCAATTTGCATTCCATTATGGCAATAGATTCATCTGCGGTGCACTTAACACGAAGCTGAACGTCAGACGCACTCCGTGCATGACAGTTGACTTGTGAATCTGTTGTGGGTCGGTGGTTTATTATGACGGCCTAAATACTAATCAAACCACAAGCCCAGCAAGTGCCTCCATTACTTTTTATTAAAAGCCTAAATGCACGAGGGGACGGCACTGACCGAATAAACAAAGACGGCCGCTGTGTTTTTTGCTTTCCTCTAATAGTGTCTGTATTGTTAATGTTTAACATCTCTTTTGCAGGTCAACTTTATGCTATGCACAGAACGGGATAATTTCTGAATTCGAAACCTTCTCATTTGTACAAAATCTAGCTGCTGTTACCGTCTCGGATGCGAGACTTCTGAAGCAATGGTGACGTACTGTGTACTGTTGTGTAGGTACATTTAAAAGTAAAGTCAAATAAGTAAATGCAGGGACTGCGTGGAACCTCCTTCACTGTGACAAAGACATTCAACGGGATCCTCAGGATTGATGAGAAACATAACTGTGATTTTGCGCCTCCACTGCTGAGCAGTTTCCGCCAAATGTGTGGTGAGCATTTTTGATGTGATTGTTACGTTTTCATACACCAGAATGTTTTTTTTTTTTTTTTACTTAATAATCAAGTGTATATTTATTTTCAGGCAAGTGTGTTGCTTTATTAATTTGTATGTGGAATGGTGGCTAAAGCTCGTCATGGTTTCTGTTACTGTCTGAGTTCAGTATACTAACCCTGAAGATGTTTGGAGGGTTAACTTATTTTGTAATATATAAGGGGCTTTCATGAGCTGAAGCAAATGCATCAATTTCCATTGATAATAAACTTGAAGCATTTTATTTTTTTCGTTTGCTTCACACCACATTGATGAATCGCCCCTTATTTAGTTTTTTTTGTGAGTCGTAGATCAGTTAGGCTGAGTGATAATGGATTCTATTCGACTTTGGTCAGAAACCAATGCTGCTTCATGCTAAACGCAGGTTCGAACTGGTTTTTGTCCTCGCTCCCGCTCAGTATTTCGACTCTTAAACACACTGAATTGGGTTTGTGTAGATAGTTTGGTTTAGGATGTAGTGGCCACCATGTGTACATTTGTTCGTAGTTGTGCTTTTTTTTTTTTTTTCCTCTCTAGGTTTGCATTTTTAATTTTTCTTTTGCACTTTTACTAATGACTTTTTCCCTTTAGAGTTCCTTTCTTGTGGTCAAAAATTATGAAGCCAAGATGCTTTTTCTCCCCGCTCTTCTCGTCCAATGTTTCATAAATTATGCTGTTGTTTTTGTCTCTTTAACAGAATGTCATTTGGATTTACAATCTTGTAACCCACCTTGTTATTAAGCCAGGTGTATTCCAGGGCTCAGGCCCTTTCTAGAGGCAGAATAAAGCTGTTGTGCAAACTGGAAGAAATGTCAGGTTGTCTGTTTTTCATTTTCATCTGTGGAAGGTGTGTATTTTGTTTTTGATCTTGATTGTGGATGTTTATTATATACTTAAACGTATATGTCATATGCTTAAAATTTGCGCTCATAGTTAGGCACACTGTATATTATAGACAAACTGTCTTTTTTATGAAGTTCTAATGAAGATTGAGACCAATTACGCTTTTTATGAGCATCTATTTGTGTGTAGCTTTCATGATGTTTAGATGTTCACCCCTCTTGACCTTTAGAAAGAGTATTTGCTTATTTTAATTTGTGAGGTAAATTTTGCAAAGAAATATTCGATCGTCTTTCACCTCCAAAAGAAAAAAAATGGTAACACTTTACAATAGGATCTCATTTGTTAACATTGGTTAATGCGTTAACTAACATCAAGTGATAATGAGCTATACATTTTTGAGGCAGTTATTAACCTTTGTTATTGTTAATAAAATGTTTTATTTTTGTTAGTTCACAGTGCATTAACTTTTGATTAATGATGTATTAGTAAATGTTGAGATTTTAGTTTGATAAAGGCTGTTAGTTCATGTTAACAAATGGAATCTTGTTGTAAAGTATTACACACACACATTAGATATATTTTTATTTTTTATTTATTAGAATTTCCATAAATTATCATTTATATATGCATATTATATATCATTTATAATGCACAAAAAGTATACTATACTATTTCAAATGGTTTGGCATTGCATGCAAGTATTCAAATTCAACTCATTTTTTTCTCGCTTTCAGTAAATGGTATATTTTTCTTAGACCTACAGTGTAACTTGGACATATTTTACAGCTGAATCTCTATTTGTGAGTCAATTTTCAGCAAATCCAGCTGGGATCAAAAGCATCTTTTCAGGTCAAGAACCAGACAGAACAGGGACCCTGTGGCCGGTTGCATAAACTGCTTAGTCTAGTCTTAAAAGTTAGTCATCTATTCCCCCCCCCCTTTTAAGAAAGGTCATAAGTTATGACCAGTCTTAAAGGAAAAAAATTAGATGACTAGCTTTTCAGACTAGACTAAGCTAATCATAACATTTTAAAGTCAGTAACAAGAAGGTAGAATGTTCTAAATTGAATCCAAAAAGTAAGGCTGATTACTGCTTTGTTAACTACTAGTTGTTCAAACTAGTTCTTAAAGGGGTCATATGACGCCCATTTTCCACAAGTTGATATGATTCTTTAGGGTCTTAATGAAAAGTCTGTAACAGTCTTAACATAGTTGTGTGCATGTACACATTTAGTCTAGAATTATAGTAAGCATCATGTTCATGCAGCACGCACAATGCCTCTGCACTTACTCCCGATTTCTTTCAACATGGCAACACGAGAGCTGCCAGTCAATACATGGGAAAACAAAGTAACTGGCTTTAGTAATATGCATTGCTAAGTACTTCATTTTGACAACTTTAAAGGGATTTTCTCAATATTTTGATTTTTTTTTTGCTCCCTCAGATTCCAGATTTTCAAACAGTTGTATCTCAGCCAAACAATACATCAACGTAAAGCTTATTTACTCAACTTTCAAATGATGTATAAATCTTCATTAAAAAAAAAAAATTGACTCTTATGACTGGTTTTGTGGTCCAGGGTAACATATTTTACTTTACTAGTTACTTGGAAAAAAAAAAAGTAATCTGATTACGTAACTGGCGTTACTTGTAATTCGTTACCACCAACTTTGTTTGTAACAATATTACTAACACTTTATCTATTTAAAATATCCTTGCTGATTAAAATCAACTTTCAAATGATGTATAAATCTTCATTAAAAAAAAAAAATTGACTCTTATGACTGGTTTTGTGGTCCAGGGTCACATATTTTACTTTACTAGTTACTTGGAAAAAAAAAAAAGTAATCTGATTACGTAACTGGCGTTACTTGTAATTCGTTACCACCAACTTTGTTTGTAACAATATTACTAACACTTTATCTATTTAAAATATCCTTGCTGAATAAAATTATTAGGCCTAATTTCTTTTTAAATAAATAAATTAAAATAAAAACGCACTGACATGAAACTTTTGAATGATAGTGTGTATTTTTACAAAAGATTTATATTTTGAAAAAATGCTGTAGGCTACTTTTTATGAAACAAATGATCACGTTAAAAAACAAACAAAACAAAAAAACAGCACAACAGTTTCCAACATTGATAATAAATCAGCATATTAGAATGACTTTTGAAGGATCATGTGACACTATAGACTGGAGTAATGATGCTGAAAATTTTGCTTTGAGCACAGCAATAAATTAGCCTACATTTTAAAATATATTACAATAGAAAACAGTTATTTTAAATTGTAAGGATAATTCACAATGTTACTGTTTTTACTCCATTTTTAATCAAATAAATGCAACCTTAATATTGCCAGGGTTCCTATTATTTTAGCTATAAATATTTAAGATTTCGAGATGAAATATGGCCTGGAATTGTTCTTTACATTTATTTTGGAGTAATTGACTAGTATGTGGAGCGAACAGAAAATGTGACTTCACTGGCAGCACACTAGAGGGTAGTGTGTACCAACATGTGAACAGCTGCCAGTGAAGCCATGTGCCTTTGCTTCATTTGATACCCGGACACAATGATCTCTTCACACAAAGACTTATTATGCCTTTATACAGATAAAATAATCATTCTCCGTTTTGGATATAAGATGACCACATTGCATCTTTCATTTGAGGCCCACACACTTTTATCAGACAGCCGTGCGTTAGTAATCGTTCGTTTGCTTTGTTCGTCTGCTGAACCTAGCCTGCTGAAGTCTGTCAACAGCACATTACAAAGGACAGTATCCAGCACATGAAACAGAGTCGTTCATCCCCTCCTTTTCTTTCTGACTACAGCACATCTGCTTGCTGTCGGCTCCCCAGGGCCAGCGCTGTGTAATCTATTGCATTAGCTCACATTAGTGCATATCGCCCATGGGTCTCGATAATCACAAACGCAAAATGAGCATTTCACTTAGTATCACCCTCACATGCCCCTCAAACAGAGGCCAGCGCGAGCATCTGGAAGGAAGTACAACCTCGGCTCGTGACACGCTTCCTGTTTTGCCTAAATCCCTCAAGTCCGATCCGAAGCGCAGTTTTCCGCCTCTCGAGGGTGTGATGTCAGGGCTGTGGCGCATAGAGCCGCTCGTTGTGTTTATTTGATGCTGCTGGTCTGCGGCGATCAGAAGCGTCTGGATCGAGCCTCATTACTGCTTGTGAAAGTTGGAAAGCACACGGGCTTCTTGTAAATCATTGGCTGTGATGAGGGAGTTTAGTGTTGCTTTAGCGGTGCTGAGGTTGTTTGGAGTAAGGAAAATGTTTTTTCAAGGCAAACACGACCACAGATTTGCAAGGAGCCCAATAGCCACTTGCTCCAATCCTCAAAGTGTCGTATTTTACTCCCAAAATCGAAGGAAATCAAACTAAGAAATTATATTTTGCATGAAGAAAATGAAAACTGTTCAGTAAGAGGTTTTGTATTGTGACTATTTTAAAATCACCACATTTCCTCCACAATTTCCTGCAGATTGTCCCATTTAGGCCTACTAATTTTTCTCAATTCTTCCCATTTATGTTAAAAATTCTAATGTTCATAACTGTAATGTAATGTAATATATATATATATATATATATATAACCTACCAGTCAAAAGTTTTTGAACAGTAAGATTTTGTTTGTTTTTTAACTGTTTTAGAGGGATGAATATTGTTAAATTACAGGGGAGACCGAATATGGTTGTAACACTTTGTTTCAGCATCTGTAACTCCCTGATTTTTTTAGCTAGGGTGTTCAAACTTTTATACAAAGAATCCACATTTATTTACTACAAAAGGCACCAATTCAAACCTCTGCAAGAATATCACAGCCCTTATAAGTTAATGTCAAATACATGGAGTGCCTTTGTTACAATCTACCCTGCTACCGAGGTAGGTTGTAACACATACTGGGGAGAGTTGTAACAGTCGGACAAAAGAAGCAAAAACAGCAGCCACCTCATAAAGTTTGCTTCAAAAACAGGTTTATTGAAACAATCTAAAAGAACTATACAAAACAATGTCACACTTTCTACGAATGACCACAGCTCAAATCCACTTTCTGTTTGATGCGGGAGTGTGTACGTGTATGTGTGTAAATTAGACTACTAGAACAAACCTCCTTAACAGTAGGCTATTTAT